CCTCATCCTTTGCCTTTTAGTATAGCCTAATATGTTACCTCTTCCTTTGCCTTTAGTATAGCCCTAATATGTTACCTCATCCTTTTGCCTTTTTAGTATAGCCCTAATATGTTACCCCATCCTTTGCCTTTTTTAGTATAGCCTAATATGTTACCTCATCCTTTGCCTTTTTAGTATAGCCTAATATGTTACCTCTTCCTTTGCCTTTTAGTATAGCCTAATATGTTACCTCATCCTTTTTTTTAGTATAGCCTAATATGTTACCTCTTCCTTTTGCCTTTTTAGTATAGCCTAATATGTTACCTCCCATCCTTTGCCTTTTAGTATAGCCTAATATGTTACCTCATCCTTTGCCTTTTAATATAGCCTAATATGTTACCTTGCTTTTATATAGCCCTTACCTCTTCCTTTGCCTTTTTAGTATATAGCTAATATGTTACCTCATCCTTTGCCTTTTAGTATAGCCTAATATGTTACCTCTTCCTTTGCCTTTTAGTATAGCCTAATATGTTACCTCATCCTTTGCCTTTTAGTATAGCCTAATATGTTACCTCTTCCTTTGCCTTTTAGTATAGCCTAATATGTTACCTCTTCCTTTGCCTTTTAGTATAGCCTAATATGTTACCTCTTCCTTTGCCTTTTAGTATAGCCTAATATGTTACCTCTTCCTTTGCCTTTTAGTATAGCCTAATATGTTACCTCTTTCTTTGCCTTTTAGTATAGCCTAATATGTTACCTCATCCTTTGCCTTTTAGTATAGCCTAATATGTTACCTCTTCCTTTGCCTTTTTAGTATAGCCTAATATGTTTACCTCTTCCTTTGCCTTTTTAGTATAGCCTAATATGTTACCTCATCCTTTGCCTTTTTAGTATAGCCTAATATGTTACCTCTTCCTTTGCCTTTTAGTATAGCCTAATATGTTACCTCTTCCTTTTGCCTTTTAGTATAGCCTAATATGTTACCTCATCCTTTGCCTTTTAGTAGCCTAATATGCCTTCCTTTGTTTTTAGTACAGCTAATATGTTACCTCTTTTTTGCCTTTTAGTATAGCCTAATATGTTTACCTCTTCCTTTTGCCTTTTTAGTATAGCCTAATATGTTACCTCTTTGCCTTTTAGTATATAGCCTACTATTTTTCCTTTTGCCTTTTAGTATAGCCTAATATGTTACCTCATCCTTTGCCTTTAGTATAGCTAGTTACCTTTTTGCATTTTAGTTACCTTGCCTTTTAGTATAGCCTACTATGTATACCTCATCCTTTTGCCTTTTAGTATAGCCTAATATGTTACCTCTTCCTTTGCCTTTTTTAGTATAGCCTAATATGTTACCTCATCCTTTTTGCCTTTTAGTATAGCCTAATATTTACCTCATCCTTTGCCTTTTAGTATAGCCTCCTTTTTGCTTTTAATATGTTATGTTACCTCTTCCTCCTTTTAGCCTTTTAGTATAGCCTAATATGTTACCTCATCCTTTGCCTTTTAGTATAGCCTAATATGTTACCTCATCCTTTGCCTTTTTAGTATAGCCTAATATGTTACCTCTTCCTTTGCCTTTAGTATAGCCTAATATGTTACCTCTTCCTTTGCCTTTAGTATAGCTAATATATTACCTCTTCCTTTTACCTTTTTTATATAGTTATGTTACCCATCCTTTTGCCTTTTAGTATAGCCTAATATGTTACCTCTTCCTTTGCCTTTTTAGTATAGCCTAATATGTTACCTCTTCCTTTGCCTTTTTTAGTATAGCCTAATATGTTACCTCTTCCTTTTAATCTTTTAGTATAGCCTAATATGTTACCCCATCCTTTTGCCTTTTTAGTATAGCCTAATATGTTACCCCATCCTTTGCCTTTTAGTATAGCCTAATATGTTACCTCATCCTTTTGCCTTTTAGTATAGCCTATATATATCCTTTGCCTTTTAGTAGCCTAATATGTTACCTCATCCTTTTGCCTTTTAGTATAGCCTAATATTTACCTTTCCCTTTTATCCTTGCCTTTTTTTATAGCCTAATATGTTTCATCCATCTATGTTACCTCATCCTTCTTTTAGTATAGCCTAATATGTTACCTCATCCTTTGCCTTTTAGTATAGCCTAATATGTTACCTCATCCTTTTGCCTTTTTTAGTATAGCCTAATATGTTACCTCTCCTTCCTTTTAGTATAGCCTTTTTTAGTATAGCCTAATATGTATACCTCTTCCTTTGCCTTTTAGTATAGCCTAATATGTTACCTCATCCTTTTGCCTTTTTAGTATAGCCTAATATGTTACCTCTCATCCTTTGCCTTTTAGTATAGCCTAATATGTTACCTCATTTGCCTTTTAGTAAATTCTTTTAGTATAGCCTAATATGTTACCTCATCCTTTTGCCTTTTTTATAGCCTAATATGTTACCTCATCCTTTGCCTTTAGTATAGCCTAATATGTTACCTCATCCTTTGCCTTTTAGTATAGCCTAATATGTTACCCCATCCTTTGCCTTTTTAGTATAGCCTAATATGTTACCTCTTCCTTTGCCTTTTAGTATAGCCCTAATATGTTTACCTCATCCTTTGCCTGCCTTTTAGTATAGCCTAATATATTACCTAATCCTTTGCTTTTTAGTATAGCCAATATGTTACCTCATCCTTTGCCTTTTAGTATAGCCTAATATGTTACCTCATCCTTTTGCCTTTAGTATAGCCTAATATGTTACCTCTTCCTTTGCTTTTTTATAGTATAGCCTAATATGTTTTAGTATATCCCTTTTGCCTTTTAGTATAACCTAATTGTTACCTCATCCTTTGCCTTTTTAGTATAGCCTAATATATGTTACCTGTTCCTTTTGCCTTTTAGTATAGCCTAATATGTTACCTCTTCCTTTGCCTTTTAGTATAGCCTAATATGTTACCTCTTCCTTTGCCTTTTAGTATATAGCTAATATGTTACCTCTTCCTTTGCCTTTTAGTATAGCCTAATATGTTACCTTTTAGTATAGCCTAATATGTTACCTTTCCTTTGCCTTTAGTATAGCCTAATATGTTACCTCTTCCTTTTGCCTTTTAGCCCTAATATGTTACCTCTTCCTTTGCCTTTAATAGCCTAATATATTTACCTCTTCCTTTGCCTTTTAGTATAGCCTAATATGTTACCTCTTCCTTTTGCCTTTTAGTATAGCCTAATATTTTACCTCTTCCTTTTGCCTTTTAGTATAGCCTAATATATTTACCTCTTCCTTTTAGCCTTTTTAGTATAGCCTAATATATTACCTCTTCCTTTGCCTTTTTTTAGTATTCCTTTGCCTTTTAGTATAGCCTAATATGTTACCTCTTCCTTTGCCTTTTTAGTATAGCCTAATATGTTACCTCATCCTTTGCCTTTTTAGTATAGCCTAATATGTTACCTCTTCCTTTTTGCCTTTTTAGTATAGCCTAATATGTTACCTCTTCCTTTGCCTTTTAGTATAGCCTAATATGTTACCTCTTCCTTTGCCTTTTAGTATAGCCTAATATGTTACCTCATCCTTTGCCTTTTAGTATAGCCTAATATGTTACCTCTTCCTTTGCCTTTTAGTATAGCCTAATATGTTACCCCTTCCTTTGCCTTTTAGTATAGCCTAATATGTTACCTCATCCTTTGCCTTTTTTTTAGTATAGCCTAATATGTTACCTCATCCTTTGCCTTTTAGTATAGCCTAATATGTTACCTCTTCCTTTTGTCTTTAGTATAACCTAATATGTTACCTCATCCTTTGCCTTTTAGTATAGCCTAATATGTTTACCTCATCCTTTGCCTTTTAGTATAGCCTAATATTACCTCTTCCTTTTGCCTTTTAGTATAGCCTAATATGTTACCTCATCCTTTGCCTTTTAGTATAGCCTAATATGTTTACCCCATCCTTTGCCTTTTAGTATAGCCTAATATGTTTCTCATCCTTTTGCCTTTTACTAATGTACCTCTTCTTTTGCCTAAAAGCTATATGTTACCTCTTCTTGCCTTTTAGTATATGCCCTAATATATTACCCATCCAATTGCCTTTTAATTACCTCTTCTTCCATTTGCCTTTTAGTATAGCCTAATATGTTACCTCTTCCTTTGCCTTTAGTAAAACCTAATATGTTACCTCTTCCTTTGCCTTTTAGTATATAGCCTAATATGTTACCTCATCCTTTGCCTTTTTTAGTATAACCTAATATATTACCTCTTCCTTTTGCCTTTTTAGTATAGCCTAATATTTTACCTCGTTCTTTGCCTTTTAGTATAGCCTAATATGTTACCTCTTCCTTTGCCTTTTAATTTATAGCCTACTATGTTACCTCATCCTTTGCCTTTTAGTACAATATAATATGCCTCTTCCTTTGCCTTTAGTATAGCCTAATATGTTACCCCATCCTTTGCCTTTTAGTATAGCCTACTATGTTACCTCATCCTTGCCTTTTAAATATAGTATATATTTACCATCCTTTGCTATATAGCCCTAATATGTTACCTCTTCCTTTGCCTTTTAGTATAGCCAATATATTTTACCTCTTCTTTACTAGTATTAATATGTTACCTCTTCCTTTTACCTTTTTAGTATATGCCCCATCCTTTGCCTTTTAATATATTTACCTCATCCTTTGCCTTTAGTATAGCCTAATATATTTTATCTTCCTTTTACTTTTAGTATAGCCCTAATATATTACCTGTTCCTTTGCCTTTTAGTATAGCCTAATATATTTTACTTCCTTTGCTTTTTAGTATAGCCTAATATATTTACCTCTCATCCTTTGCCTTTTAGTATAGCCTAATATGTTATATATTCCTCATCCCTTTACTTTTGCAAGTATAGTTACTAATATATAGTTACCTCTTCCTTTGCCTTTTAGTATAACCTAATATATTTACCTTCCTTTACTTGTAGTACAGCCTAATATATTTACCTCTTCCTTTTGCCTTTTAGTATATAATATATTTACCCATCCTTTGCCTTTTAAGTATAGCCTAATTTTTTACAAAATCTTCCTGTTGAAAGAATGTATGGTTGTTAGTAAAAGGATTGCCTCTTCCTTTCCTTCTTTAAATCATCTGCCTAATATTTGTTGTCTCTGTTGCCTCCTTCTTTGCCTTCCTCTTCTTTGCCTTCCTCTTCTTTGCCACTTTTGCCTTTGTTGCCTCTCCGCCTTCTTCTTTGCCTTTGCCACTTTTGCCTTTGTTGCCTCTCTCGCCTTCATCTTTGCCTTCCTCTTCTTTGCCACTTTTGACTTTGTTGCCTCTCTCGCCTTCTTCTTTGCCTTTGCCACTTTTGCCTTTGTGGCCTCTGTTGCCTCCTTCTTTGCCTTCCTCTTTGCCATTTTTGCCTTTGTTGCCTCTGTTGCCTTCTTCTTTGCCTTCCTCTTCTTTGCCACTTTTGCCTTTGTTGCCTCCTTCTTTGCCTTCCTCTTCTTTGCCACTTTTGCCTTTGTTGCCTCCTTCTTTGCCTTCCTCTTCTTTGCCACTTTTGCCTTTGTTGCCTCCTTCTTTGCCTTCCTCTTCTTTGCCACTTTTGCCTTTGTTGCCTCTGTTGCCTTCTTCTTACTCTTATTCACTACTTCCTTCTTTGATTTATTTTTCTTTGCCTCCTTTGCATTCTTCTTCTTCTTCTTCTTCTTCTTCTTCTTATTATTATTTGCCTCCTTTGCCTTCTTGTTCGTATTTGCCTCCTTTACCTTCTTTTTCTTTGCTTTTTTTGTCTTCTTCTTCTTTGTCATCTTTTTCTTCATGTTGACTTTTTTCTTAATATTTCTTTCTTCGTTGTCCTTGTTGTTCTACTTTTCCTTCTCTTTATTTGCCACCTTTGTCATCTACTTCTTCTTTGCCTCCTTTGCCCTCTGCTTCTTTGCCTTCTTTTTCTACTTGTCTCTCTTCTTCTTCCTTGCCTTCTTCGTCTTTACCTCCTTCTTCTTCTTTTTTTGTTTTACTCTCATGCTTCAAGTTTTCGTTCATTTAATCCGATTCTTGTGACTTTTATCTTCGAATAGTTTTTCCTATTTTTATTCTTTTTCTTATTCTCTTTATTCTTCTGCCACTGTGCCATCTTTTTCGCCTTCTTCTTCTTTTTCGCCTTCTTCTTCTTTTTCGCCTTCTTCTTCTTCTTCTTTGCCCTCTTCTTCATCAGTCACTATGTTTCCGTTTCGTTCTTTTTCTTCTTTTCATTTTGTTTTTGATGTTTCTTGTTTGTCTGATTTAGCGTTTCATTTCTGTGATGAGTAATTTTCAATATTCTTGTATTGTATTATTGCGAAAATTCCTGTCCTTCTTTTGTTGTTTTTAATTTTCTAATCGTGAACGAACTTTTGCAATTATCTAAAATCATTTCGAAGAGTCGTTCTCGTTTTGGTCGATACAGATAATATTCCAGAGACAACGTTTCGACCAAGTACCATCTGGTCATCATCAGATATCCATTGATTGGTTGATATGAGATATTTGTTGATTATTGGGATGACAGTTCGTTCTTGTTGAAGTGGTGCTTCACTATCTATCGTGCCCCTTCAGAACGTGAGTGATCATGGCTCTCCACAACTTTCTGTCCTTTGCAGCTCTTATTAAAACTTTGTTTTTGTTTTACTCCTCGTCCATATTCTGATAGCCATTTACACGAGCTCGTTCTGTTTCCTTTGTCCTTCTTGACTTCAACGTGTACTGTGAGTGTCGAATTTTCCAAGCCCTCTTTCCTCATTGCGTGCCCTAGAAATTTTAACTGTTTCTTTCTGATTTTATGCATAAGGCTTCCTTTTTTTTTTTTATCTTTACAAATTCGTTGTTGTTCACATGATCATTCCCTGGTATTCCCAGCATCCTTCTGTAGAGCCATATATTAAAATTTATGTCGATTTTTGTTTAAATAATGTAAAATAATTTACACAAAATTCAGAAATAAATAAATTAAAAAAAGACTTGAAAGTCCATCCTGATGTTTACTGTTTTTTTTTACAAAAGTTTTTATAAGGAGCGTGCAAATAGACTTTAGACTGGTAGTACCCACTGAAACAGTACGAGTATTTTATATATGTACATACTAGTGCACTCGTACTAGTGTACTAGTAATAATGTACCAGTACTAGTGTACCCGTACTAGTGTACCAGTAATAGTGTACCCGTACTAGTGTACTTATACTAGTGTAGCAGTAATAGTGTACCCGTACTAGTGTACCTATACTAGTGTACCCGTACTAATGTACCAGTACTAGTGTAGCCGTACTAATGTACCAGTACCAGTGTACCAATACTAGTGTACCCGTACTAGTGTAACAGTACTAGTCTACCATACTAGTTTACCCGTACTAGTGTACCAATATTAATGTATCCGTACTAGTCTACCAGTATTAGTGTACCCGCACTAGATTACCAATACTAATGTACCAGTACTAGTGTACACATAATAGTGTACCAATACTAGTGTACCAGTAATAGTGTACCCGAACTAGTGTATCAGTAATAATGCACCATTACTGGTGTACCCGTACTAGTGTATCAGTAATAGTGTACCCGTACTAGTGTACCTATACTAGTGTACCCGTACTAGTGTAACAGTTCTAGTGTACCAATACTAGTGTACCCGTACTCGTGTACCAATACTAGTGTACCAGTACTAGTGTACCAGAGCTAGTGTACCCGTACTAGTAAATCAGTACTAGTGTACCAGTACTAGTGTGCCCGTGCCGTCAAAATTGGTGGCAATTGTTAGAAAGTTTGAATAGTGCGATGCAATGAAAGAAAAGTCTTGAAATAATGTATTAAGATTCAATGAAGCGGAGATAAAGTAATCAAAACTAAAACAGAGATCAATGGATCGTTTCATTAATCAGTTACCTCTATATTTTTAGACAAACAAATGTATCTATAATCCATTCATTGCTCCTGGTAAGATATAAATCGAGTTTTGCTTAACATCTTTATATGTTATGAATTTCATGAAATGGGAATATCTTACTGAAGACAGAACGACAAAGACGAAGACGACAACACATATTCCAATAGCAAGTTTAAGCAAGACGATCACTTAATGGACAATGGTATCTGTGTACCTCACATGAAAGGCTCGAACTAATAAGGCTGCAATCTACGAAAAGCTGGAGTAAAGGAACTGATTAATTAAACGGTCCATTTTGCACGAGAGCTAATTTGGTCTAACTGGAGATAAATGTTTTAATTGCACAGATTATTAAAATGAGCAAGGGAAGTAATCAGTCATGACTTTACTAACATCACATCATTTACCCCCGTTTCCACAAAAGGATGGGACAGAAAATATATAAATAAATAAATTAATAATTATATGATCGTTTGATGATTGATATTAGTATAAAAAGTACTTTCGTATTTTACATGCTTTTAACCCAACGAAGAAGCTATATTTAAAATCATCCTTGATAATGGCTAACAGTATAGCCGAAAGCGCGATGACATACAGAACATTCGGACAATTTCTACATAATTTATGCCCAGAAAAGAAGAAAATTATAAGAACAGCAAGAAAAATTTAAAAAAAAACTTAACCCTCAGTATCTTGTCAGTCATTTTTAATGAAACTCTTATAAAAGAGGGATTGCGGCCAAAATACAAAATCAGTACATACCTATATATATTTATATATATATATATACATATATAGACTTGTTTTTTATGTCCATCGTTTTTGTGAAATTGAACTGAAATGTATTTTAATGAATATTGTCTTGAAGAAGGTTTATTAAACCGAAACGTCAGACGTCGACATTTCATTCATTTTAAACAACATAATTGCATTTAAGGATTTTTTGTTTGTTTTTTTTTAATTTTCTTCATATATATATATATATATATATATATATATATATATATATATATATAAAATTTCATAAAACGTATATAGAAAACTTATCCATTTGTTAGATTATGCTTTGAACTGTTGTATCTAAGAAATGATTAAAGATATCTTACTGGAATTCTCCGAGGTATTTATAACTCTATTGGACTCTGTTTTGAACAATAAAAATGTATTTAGCTGTTAAGTTGAAACGAAGATCCCTCTTTCTGTTGTGGCCTCCTGACTCTTTTTTTCTCTCTATTGTTCTCTCTTTTTTAAAAACTGAATTCACCATTCTCTTGATGGTTCTTGAACGGACTTTGAAGATGGAAGCCAGAGTATGAATGTTGGTACCATTACTGAAGGTCTGAATGATCTTTTCCTTTTTTTTTGTCAAGGCGGTGGGGGGAAGGAAAGAAATACGCATAATGCTGGCATAGCACAAAAATTACAACATTCTTATAGGCACAATATGATCAACAAAACTTTTGATAATGTCTTTTGAAGGACGAAAACATTCGGGACAGCGGAGAGTTTATATTTAAGTATACATCGGAAACCAAGAAAAACCTTAGGAAATATATAAAAGGCAAATCCTTAAGAAAGAACCGAATGGATAAACGGAAAACGGCGACACACATAAACATACACACACATATATATATCACCGTGTATACATACATTATTATATATATTCAAATACACAAAATATATATATATATATATATATATATATATATATATGTCCAGATTTATACATGGGTAGCAAAAGGTATTTAACACATTGGTTTTCTTATTTCTAAAAATAATAATTGTCGATCAAAACATAGAAGGAAAATTTAAAACCGCATTGAAATTAATTTCCGATCCGTTTATATATGACACGTTTTTAACTGTAGCAAAATACTCACACACACACAAACTCACACATACATGTTTTCTGTTACATTATGATTATTATAATATATATTGCATTTACTATATGTATTGGGGCAGCATTGTCTCGATGTCGAGAGTTTTATTACACATCGACGAACTTTATTGGTTTAGGATTTGTCAAAATGAATTCTTTTCTCCATCCGAGCTGTTATCGATCACAGGACACACCACCACACAACAACAAATAAAATGAAGGGCCCATGCAACTTAAAGAGAAAATATGAACATAATTAAGATGTTGACATTCCACACTACATCAAACAAAAGGTTAGGAAGGAAACCCACATCAATAGTACACGGTGCCCAGTAAAAAAGGCACATTTATTATCACTGTTTGATCTTTCAGGAATAATTGACCTTGAATAACCTTGAATAAATCTCTTGAATATTCACGACCTTGAATAATCATTCGACTCTCGCGTAATTAACTCTGATTGGTTCTTTTTATGATTGATTAACTGCCGCTTGTTGTTTGAATCCGTTCGTTATTTAAAGGTTATTTGCAGACAACATTATTCTCTTTCGTTCTGCCCTTTCTCGGTATGGCTAAACAACTCACTGAATTTTTTAAACGTTATCGTCCTTTTCAAAAGGAAGAACATCCAACGTGGAATTGACGAAATGTGAAAAATCCTTCCTGAATTTTCACACTCACATCAGTCGTCACCAGTTTTCAACGGTTGTCTTTTACATCTTTCTGAATTTTTCCGCTTTTTTTTGTTTACTTTTGTTTGTAGAAAAGATGAATAACATCTACTGGAAATTTTCTAATTTTCTTAAAAATGTTTTCTTTTTAAGACAGATTTCATAAATTTCTACCGACAGTGGCACTGACTGCCCAGTGAATAAATGTTGAATATTTCTTCACAAGGAAACTTGAGTCTATTTTTAAATTAACAAAATATATATATATATATATATATATATATATATATATATATATATATATATATGTAAATGTGTGTGTGTGTGTGCGTGAGTGTATATATATATGTGTGTGTGTTATTTATAAATATATATATATATGTGTGTATATATATATATATATATATATATATATATATATATATATATATATATATATATATATATATATATTAAGTTTACATTTATGTATACGAATAAATTCCAATAATCAAAAATACTATTCTTAAAAAGTGCTCAATAATTTGAGAGATATAAATTATAATTATTTATTCAAAATTATAAAATCCTGATATGCAATAAAATCACTACAAAAATAACCATGTTGTTTCAACACTTCAGGTGTCTTATCAAAAATGGTGTTGAATTCAAGACCCAAAGAGTGTGAGTTCAATACCCTCAACTAAGGCAGTGGAAACTTTCAGAGGGAAAATTAACAAAAGATAATTGATAGCTGACATCCATCAAACAACATAAAACGCGGAACTAAATACAATATATATAAAGTGAGCG